AATAGTACTAGTAGCTAAGAAAGAATTATAAAGGGCTATTTTATATTACTATTAGCTAAAACTAGAATTTTCGTTTTAACCAGAGAAATAGCCTAGTAAAGTTAATAATACTTATTAGTAATAGGAACCTTAAGAATTTTGAGATCTATATTTATTAATTTTATAAACTTTTAAAGAATTCCGTATTTATTCTTTCAAGTAACGAGAAAGATTTGGAACAGATAATAAGCCAATATACTTTATATTATTTATAAAAGATTATTAATATTAATATTAATTATAGGAATAATAATTATAATATCTTTTGGAAAGTAAGTCGGAATAAAAGAAATAGGTATTAATTTATAATACTAGTAAGCTATTATATTAATAATAAGCTAAATATAGTATATAAAACTAATCTATTAGTATTTTTTATAGAAGAATAAGGCTGTATTTATAATAAAATAATAAACTACTATTATACTAAAAAGCTTTCTATAATATCTATAACTAAGATACTATCTCCTTTTAAGGTTAGTAATAATTTTATATATAGTATTTATAATAGACTTCTATTCGAGGTCAGGTTCTGAATATATATTTTTGTAATTTAATAGAAAATATCCAGAATAGAAAGAATTAAAAGTTATATATTTTTATCTATTAATAATAAAAGAAATAGTTTGGGAATTAGAACTAGTATAAATATTAAATTTAAGATACTTTTTCTAATTATCTAATACTTTTTAAATAGAAAGCTTTATTAAATAAAGAAAATATACCTGAATATTTGTCTGGGCTAGACTAGTAGTAGTACTTTAGTTTTTGAAATGATTTTTAATAGTATTATTTATTACTAAATATAAAAACTTTTAATAATAGTATAAATTATAGATTAGTAGCTTATAGTTATAATCCGATATACTTTCAAATATTTCTTATATAGCTAAAAGTGAAATATTAATAGCTATTATATAGGTATAATTAGTAAAATAATATTTTAATTAAATATAGGTTATATAATTTTCTAATAATTAAATCTCCTATTCCGGAGATAGTAAGTATTCGGTAAGCAAATAACTATTTATATACTTAGATAATTATTCTATAATATAGATTAGAAAATTCTTTTTATATTTTTATTTTGAAATTTATTATTTATTATTTCTATAATTTATTAAATCTTATATCTATATATAATATAAAAGGATATTAAATCTTTTATCTTATTCTATAATAGAGGATTAAATCTCGTATCTATATATAATATAATAGGGTATTAAATCTTTTATCTTATTCCATAATAGGGAATTAAATCTTATATCTATATATAATATAATAGAATACTAAATCTTTAATCTTATTCCGTAATAAGATATCGAATTTTGTATTTATATTATAATATAATAGGGTACTAAATCTTTTATCCGATCTATAATAAAGTATAGAAACTGAATTATTTCTATTCTATAATAGAATACGGAATTTTTATATCCCTAATCTATCTGGTAATATTTCTACTATAATAAATACTATATAGACTATAGCTATATTAAGCTAAAGTATAGTTAAAGATTTAGTTATCTTATTATTATAGAACCTTAAATAAGAATAGATTTATTAATACTTATTTAAGGGAATAGAAAAAGGATTTTCAGAAGCCTATATTAATACTATAGAATAAATCTTACTATAATATAGAGGAACTATAGCTTGAGTAGTATATTTCTATATAATAAAAGAATAGAAGTTTTAAAATACTAGTATTACTATATTCCAAGAACTTTCTAATAGTAATCGAATACTTGTTATATAAAAAGTAGTAGCCGGTCAAAAATATAATTCTATTATTAAGATTAGTAAAATAATATCTATATCTTATAAATATTATAGTAAGTAACCTAACTATTTTACTTTTCTATTTCTAACCCGATTCCTTAAAAGATATTCTAAATCTTTCTTTAAAAAGTAATAAAAGAATTTAATAATATTTTATAGTATTAGCTATTTTAACTAGCTATATGAATTTATTTTATCTAAATAAGATATAAAATAGTTTTACTATTTCCCTAAATTCTCTAAACAAGATATAAAGCAGTTCTGCTACTTCCTTATTTCCTTTAAATAAGATATAAAGTATTTAAACTATATCTTTAGTAATTCCAAACGAATTATAAAATACTTCTATAATAATTCCCGAACTCTTCTAGAATAATATTACTTAACTATTTAAAGTATTCGAATATATCTTATAATAAGGAATTACGAATGTTTTTAATAAAAATATATATAATACTATTAAGGATACTATTTAGTAAAATGAGGTAATTTACTTAAAAGCTATTATAATAATATTCTTTTCTAGGTTAGTTATATTTGATTATATTATAATTCTGGCTATATTCGAGAATAAGGTAATAGATCTTATAAATACTTTATTTAATATATAAATTAAATAGTAGGGATATATTTAGTCTCTTATTTATCCTAGAGAAATTAAAATAACATCTTCTTTTAAATAGTAGAAATATATTTAGATCTTTACCTCTTTTAAAAAAACTATAATAGAAATAGTATCTTTTTCTAAACTTATTATAAAAGATACTTTAGATAATACTATTTTAGAGAATATCTTTAGTTTAAAGATATTTATAATAGTTATAATAAGTACTATATATAGGATATTAATAGTATTTCCGGCTAAGATTAGTAAAACGGTTATTATTAACTTAACTCTAGAAATATTTAGAGCTATAGAAATAAGAAAAAAGATATTCTCTAGAATATAATTTATATTTCTATATTATATAATACTAGTCTTTCTTTATATAACTTTCGGTAAAGTATACTTTAATATCTAATTATAGTATTATTTTACTAGAGTTTATATTATATATCTTTTTATTTCTATTCTCGGTATATGAAATACTACTATAGTTCTTCTAATATATCTACTAACTATTACCTTTAATTACCTTAATATTATTATTCTTATTATCTTCTATAAATTATATATTATTAATAAGTAGTTTAGGCTTAAAAGTCTAATAATATATTAGAGGAGCTATAAATAGAGATATTATAAATTACTATTAGATATAGAAGCCCTTTTAAATATATTATAAAAAAGAGATAAATATAATTAGTTTTAAGGCTAGATAGAATCATTTATGCTTTATAGATAAATAGAGGCTGGGGCTAGTTATAATTATTACCTAGTAAGATTAATAGATATATAGAGGAATAAAGAGACAGATTTTATATTTGCTTTAAAAGGTTATAAGAAGTTAATAGGCTACTTAGAAGGATAAGGTTACTAATAAAATAAATTATTGGATAGAAAGCTATAATATAGAAGAATGCAATTACTAGTATTAAGTACTAGTAAATACTAGTAGATACTAAACTAGTTAGATAGAAATAATTTTACTATTATAAGAAACGACTTTTGAATATTATCTAATCTTTTCTAATTCGAGATTATAACTTCTTAGAAGAATTTCGTATTTTACTAAGCTTAAAGGTAATAGGGTTCAATACTATATAATTTGCTTAGCCAAGCCAAAGATAGCCGAATAGATCCGGTATTTGGGTTCTAGTACTACTAGACTATAAATATACTTTAGGATTAAAGAAAGTTAATTATTTGGGATATTATATTTCTAATCTTACTTATCTTATTATAATCGGGTAATAGTAGTAGAAGCGGTTAGGTAAAGAATTAAATAGTATAGCCTTAGAATAAAACAAGTAAGCTTTATAGCTTAAATATATTAAACTAGGCTATATAATATAATACTATATAATTAGAGGTTATTTCCTTTATTAATATATAATCTATATTCTAGCTATAACTATAATATCTAGTATTCTTGTATCTCGGAATGACTTATACTATAATTTATTATTAAATATAACAGGAAGATATAACTAGAAGCCGGTAAACTTGTATTATATCTACTATTAATTCTAATAAACTATAGTCTAATAACAGGCATATAAATACCCCTGCCTGCTTTTAGTAGAAAATTGACTATATATGGTTTTACGGTTTATAGTTTACCTTATAGGGTTATTCTCTATTTATACAAATATAAATACTATTTGCTTTATTCCGAATTTTCCTTATTCTCTCTCAATTCTTCTCCTTAGCTTAATTGCCTTTAGATACTAATTATTTTTAAATTCCGGTACCTCTAACTCTATATCCTTTATAATTATGCCTCTACTTATTACTACTATATCTTTTGAGATAATTAAATATAATATTTATAGAATTAAATACTCTTCTATATAATCCGGTTGCCCTTTTATAAGTACTTACCCCAAGAAATAAGGGTAATAGAGGAACTGAAATTATCTTTTTTATAAGTAAGTTAGAAAGAACTCTAATTTAATTTTAATATCTAAATCGATTTAGATATTAATACTTTTTGTAACCTATTTCGTTCTCTTTATATTTATTTAATATTATAAAAGTATATTAGATAATTATCTGGTAGTAATACTAAGGGATTAAAAGAAATAAAAGGAATTATTTAGTATACCAGAATCCGATCTATTCTCTATCTTTAGTAATTTGCTATAAGCTATAAAACCTTTACCTGTTTAGTTTTTATTTATTATATATTACTATTAGGTATATTATGGCCTATATATATTTAAGTAAACTTAATTAGTAGTATTTGAGTAGTTTGGGTATTTAATACTAATTATTAAATATTTATATTAAAACTCATAACCGAGAATAAGAATTACTACCGATCTGGACTAATATTTCTTAATAAAATTCAGTAACTTGAATTAGTATAGAAACTAATAAAATATTATATATATCTCGTTTTCTGCTATTATATATAATACTACCTGTTACTAATTAAATACTTAACTTATAGTATAAAAAGAACTATATTTCTATTATACCTAAATGAAAATATTATAAAGTTAGTTAGATCTGGGTCAAATATAGCCTATAACCGATAGAATAGTAAACCAATCCGTTTATAGATATATTAATTATATCTCGTTTCGGAAAAGAAAGACTTTATAATAAGGTAGTATTAATAGTATTTATTACTGAGTATACGAATATCCTAATTCCTAAGCTATATTATTACTTTAAAGATAATAAGGCCATTTATCTAATTATAGAATATATTAAAAGAATAGGTATAAATGAGCTTGAGGAGGAGAAACGGAAGTTTATTAAAAAGGAACTAGAGGTTTATTTAGAGTTATTAAAAGAGATAAAGTCAAAATTTTAGAGAGGGCCTTCAGGAATTATATATTACTTATATTAATAATAAGCTTTCTTTATTTTTACTAATATATCTAGGTTATACTACTATATTATATTATAGTTAAAAGTGGCTATTAAGAGCGGAAAATGAAGCCTTTTGAGTCTGAGGAGCTAGTATTTAACTATAGTAACTTGTTAATATATAATATAATCATTAATCCCGTAATACTAAAAGTAAAGACTATAATTAATTAGGAGTATATAGGTTTCTATCCAGTATAGTTTAAAGGGAAGTTCTTTAAGAGAATAGGGCCTTTAGTTATATAGAAAGGGGAAGAGAATAATAAGAATAGATTACTTAATATTATAATTAAGAATGAACTAAAATGAGCTGAGATAAACTGAGATTAGATAAGAATCTAGTAGGTAATAGGATTATAGAAACAGGATATTTTGTCTTTAGTAACCAAATATAAAGCAAGTATTGAAATATGGGCCTATAAGTAGAACTAAGTTATTTCTTTCTCTTTCCGACTATATTTCTGCTTTTTCTTCTAAAAGAAAAATAAAAGATTTCTTTACTTAAAAAAGGAGTTTCCTAATATAGGCTTTAACTTATAGCTTATACTATCTCTATTTATATATACCTGAGATTATTATAATTCTGACTTAATTTAATTTAATTACTAGCTAATAATTATAATTAATTAAATTATTTAATATATTATTTCTAATTCTATTATTATATTTAAAGATATTTCTTCTATTATAGTTATGGCTAATACTAATATACTGCCTTTTAGAAGAAAGATATAATAGTAGGAATGGCCTTTGAAATAGAATATAAAAGTATAATAGAAGAGATAGCTACTTAATAAAAGAGGTATAGTAATAGAACTAGTGGCTTAGAAGAGTATAAAAGGTATAGTATAGGAAACGGCTTCTTGAAAAAAAGGTATAGTAATAGATATAGGTCTCTAGAAAAGGTTAGAAAAGTATAAAACAAGAAATAGCTTCTTATTTAAAAGAGGATATAAAGATATAATAGAAGAAATAGTAGCTTTAAAGAAAGGTATAGTAGTAGATATATTTTTTCTAGAAAAGAATATAAAGTATAATAGAAGAATTAGCTATTTGGAAAAAAGATATAGTAGTAGATATAGCTCTTCTAGAAGAGAATATAGAGGTAATATAAGAAATAGCTTTTTCAGAAAAGATATAACTATATATATAGCTTTCTTATAAGAAGATATAAAAGTATAGTATAAGAAATAGCTACTTAAAAGAGATATAGTTGAGATTAGATATATTAGGCTAGTATTAAAGAATATAAATCCAATTATATACTTATAATATTAATAAGCTAACTTTTCCCAGAGTATTATTATATTTCTCTGGCCCAATTACTCTTTAATAAATTATTAATATACTTAATTTAGTCTAGATATACCTATAGTATAGGAATAGGCTTTTTCTATAGAGATTATAGAATCTCGGCCTATTATCTTTATATAGGCTTCGGAGAATATAGTATAGTATTTATAAACTTTAATTTAAGTTATTATTAATTCTTCTTACTATATAAAATAGTCTATAAACTATTACCTATTAAAATTTTCTTTTTATTATATATTTATAATATTAAAAAGAAAATATATAAAAAACTTATTATTAAAACTTATTATTCTTACTATTTTTATTTCCTTTATTTTATATACTAATCCTATAATTTTCCAAAATTTGAATTATATTCTATAGTAAATTATTAGCTTTAAAACTTATATTAATAATTTTCTTTTCCTCTATAGGCAGGCTATTAGATCCAAGTCTTTTAAAAAGGCTATCTAGTTTTCTAATTTGCTTAATAGTACTTTTAATATATTTAATAGTATGGTTTATATTCTAAATAGAGATAGTTATCTAATATTTTCTATTAGTTATTTCGGTCCTATAAGATTTGAGTTTTTTAGAAGTATTAAGAGAAGGGCCTGATTTTAGTTAGCTAAAGTAGTCTATAATATAAATTAAAACTTTCTTCTGCTTTTAGGACCTAAATCTTTATAGCCTATATTAGAGGTATTATAAGAGTCAAACTCTTCCTATTAATATTTGAGATTATCTAGAGAACCTTATCTTATATCTATTATTACCTGCTTTTTAATTCCGGATATAGGTAGTATAGTAGTTATCCTAGAATATTATTAGAGACAGGTTATATTCTTTATTATACTATTTATATAATCGATTATAGTACTTTTATAGGCGATTTCTTTACTAGTATAAGCCTATATAATTATAGGCTTTCTATTATATTTTTTAGAAGATATAAATTAAAAGCAGAATACTAGCTTATCTAATATATTTCCTTTTATTCTATAATTACTATATTAGTTAATTTTAACCTATAAAAATATAATAGGATAAGAATTAGGCTGGCTTTCCGGCTTGAGCTAAGAAATTGGATAACCGTTATTATTAACCTAATACTTGTTTTTAATATCCTACTATAGTCCGGAAATAACCGGATTAGCAGGTTTATTTAGTTTACTAGTAGTTTCGGGGTTAGTAAAGAAAGGAGTTTTTAACTCATTATATACCGATATTTCTATATATTATTCGAAGATTACTTACTAAATAAGGATAGAGGGTTTTCGGGTATATCTTAAATGCCTTAGTAATTATATATACTATTTTCTAAACTTGGTAGTATTAAACTAAAAGGGCTTCCCTTTATTTTGGGAATAGGCTCGAAATAATTAAAGGTAGGTTCTTTTCAGATATTTCAATAATCCTTCCTATATAGTAGATAGGCTATTATAGGTATTTAGACTTAAAGTATTTTAATTTCTAGTAATAGAAATCTCAGATATAATATCTTGTAATATAGGGAGACAGAATAATATATTTATAATAAAATAAATGAGAAGAGAAAGAGGAGAAGAAATGAGAGAAGAGAGAGGCTGCCTTTATACTTAATTTCCTCTATAGGAGCAGATTTTGGCCAGACTAGTTAGTCTATTTAATTACTTTTATAGATATATATATCGAGTTATTAACTTTAAACCTTTATAGCTAAAAAAACATATAGGGTATAATAACTAAATACTCTGAGACTTATATAAGAACTAGTCCGGTATAGATATAACTATATTCCTCTATAAAGGAGTAATAGAGTAGACTGGGTTATAGTAGTCTGGTTAAGTAAATAATATTCCTGTATATATAGTAATATTATAGTTTCTAGTTCTAATTATAGGAGTTAGAATCTAAACCGAGATATTATATAGTAAATCCTATTTAGTAGTAGTATTAATAATTACTAAGTTAGGTATTATATTAAAATATATATTATAAGCTAGGATTTATAGTAGATAATAAACTCTTAAGTATTTAAAGAGTTATAAATATCTTCTTTCTTATAGTAGAGTAAAAAAAAAAGGATTTGAAGATAGAAAACTATAAGACCTTAATTAAACTAGTCTATTTTGGGATATAGTAATATTAAAAGGGAAGTAATTCTATTAAGCTACTTTAGAAATTTGACTTTAATTATAGCCAGGCCTTATTAGCTATTCTTTATCTCTCTTAAAAGTAATAATAAAACCGGGGCATTTAATTTCCGGTATTATATATCTGGGAAAAATAACTATAAAACTTTAGATTTCTAATAAGAATAAATAGAAGTTCTTTTCTAGCTTTTATATATTCTTTACTAGTACTTTTAGTATTATAAGATCTAAAGTAATTTCTATTAGTTTCTAATTACTAGCTGGATTTATCTTACTTACTAACTTGTAATTTCCCTGACTTACCTTACCTATATATTCTAATATTACTTTTATTAATCTTCGGAAGAGGGTTAAAAGATTTAGGCAGGATTCCGGTTTTAGTATTAGCTTTTAAAATTTCCAGGAGAATATTACTAGTAAGAGTTTCTTGATATTTGTCGGAGATATATACTTTTATATTAGATTTCGATCTTATAGTATTGGGATTATTTATACTAGAGTTTATATAAGTAGATAGTAAGGGGGTTATATTAGATATAAAGTCGATATTAGGGAGCTATTCTCTTAGACTATTAGTATTATAGGATTCTTTTAGTAGCTTTATAAGTAAAGTCCTTTCTAGTACTATAGATATAGAATTATAATAGTCTTCTGCTTTACCCTAGTAAAATATATTAGGAAGAAGTATAATAAGACTAGCCTTATTAGATAAGCTTAACTAGATAATGAGATTAGTATAGTTCTGGAATATAAATCCTTTACTTATTTCCGGAAATATATAGGAATTTTATAGTATAGCCTTATAGGTTTCGTAAAGGCAAATAAGCCTATAAAATAGGTTTATATAACTCTATACTAGATTCGCTTCCATTTTCCGAGATATAGTAAACCTAATATAGTTCTGAGACTATTTCTTAGTAATTATTAGTTTAAGCCCTATTTTATTTAGTATATTTAGCTAGTAAACCTTATTAAACTTGAATTCAAACCCGATTTTTAATATTTCCCGAAAGTCGGTATATCTAATAAGATTAGATATTTGAGTTAAAAATTACTAGCCTAGAAAAAGCCTTATTATATATTATAATAATATTAGAATAATAGCCCGAAAGAGAATATTAGTAAATAGAATATAAGATTATATTAGATTAACTAGATTAGTAAGATAAAAGATATAGGATTCTATTATTTTATTAGTATTAAAGAATAAAATAGAATTAATAGAAATTAATAAGCTATAGAACTTATCTAATATATATTTATATCTTATAGATACTACTTCTTATATTTATAATATAATATTAGTATTAAAGATTTTTATTAGGATCTTATATAAGAGAAATATTAGGTAATTCTTATAATAAAATCCAGGCTTTTTACTAATACTTATAATATTTAAAAAGGATTATTTTTTAGAATACTAAAAGAATAGATTCTCTAATAAGCTAGAGACTAAAGGGCTATAAACCAAAAGATATTAAAATAAGAGGGTTACTAAAAGAGGAGGTTTAGTTAA